CAACATAAGTATTATATATATATATATGAGCATAGTAGTGTGACGTGGTGAGACTTACCTGAATACGAAAGAAGACACAATACTAGGGCAGAATATGTATATTCAGTACAGAGAAGGCGTTTGGGCTACTGGCATAGCCCGAAGGCCAAACTACCCAGCTTGGTACTAGATGGCAAATTCAAGAGTCAAAAAGTGGTGCCTCACCAATACCTAGGGATGAACAACCATCGTATTACACTAGCATGGCCTTGGGACCAGCCCACCTGGATAACGTACAAAGGCGGAAACCTAACTTGACCCCTTTGCCAAAACCGAAAGTTAGAGAACCAACTTATTACAATACGTTTTTAATGTCATTACAGGAGTTGTGCCACTAATCAATGTTAGCTAAAAATTGGTGGAGGTTCTATGCGGTGCTGCATGCATAAGGAATCACCCACCAACCAGCCACATCAGTCATTGGATTGGCGTGCAACAGAGAAAGCATTTGACCCCGACATCACTGATGCATCTCGGCATTTCTACTGAATTTGGAGTTCCATTCAAAATCCTCAGGACTGACTGTTATTCTAGAAAGAGACCGTTTCGTATTTTCCTCGCTGGTCGTGGGAATACTGGCCTAAAAATAGAGTCATTTATTAAATGTCGCAGTTTAGAATAGTTTAATGCGATTGTTTTGCGACTATTCGTCCTTGTCATCTTTCTGTCCTGCCCCAGCCATCTGTCACTCCATCTATCCATCTGGGTAGTAGAGAGGTGGAGAGGGTGCCTTGTGGCCGCTACACTGGCACCTTTTAATAGGTACCGTAGACGGCTCCGTAATGAAATTTTCTAGATGGTTCACTGCTGTGCCGCTTCATTTGTCAGTAGCATTCCCGCAGATGGGCTTCTTCCGTCATGTTAAGGCATAGTAATCAGCCATGGAAATCGAGACAATCGTCCTTTTGGATGAGCTACATTAGCCATTGCCACTAATGTAGCACCCCGGGTCATCCCTAAAGTCGTAAGAAGTCACAGTAGTAGGACAGAGAATACATTACCAACATGAAGAAGGCTACTAAGCGGAAGTGCAATCTGAGGTGACTTCAGGGCTTGCTTAGTCGAACAACCCACTGTTTCCCACATATCTTAAGTTTGGTGGGTTGCACAAAATTATCCTTATTTTCTGTACAAAAATCGGAAACACGTCTACTTTACTACCTTCCCATTGCTAATTTTCAACTGGCCACTGGCGACTGGGCGGCTGCTGTCAAACACGCAGCCACGCACACACGAGTGTTGTGTGTGTGGCCCTAACAGTTGTCATCGTTAAGGCGCCACGAGACAGAGGGACAGAGGGGCGACAACCACCAATCATTTGCACACATTAACCTTCACATGGTGATCAATTGTAGCCAAAGTTCGAAGTGAGTAGGAGGAGTGGGAGGCTGAAGGGGAGCGCAGATGTTGCCTCCTTTGACTCTAGTCGTGCACGCAAATGGTCGTACCGATGTGCTAATTTGCCTACACTGAAATTTCTTTAAAAATGGAACAGTCGATGCGTTTCAATCTGTCTCAAACGCATTGATCATCACTAGACTAACGTAGTGTCACACCTGAAGAGGCATTATGCGTAAACTATTATGTTTATTTAGAAGTATTAAAGGTGCTGTCTGTAGAATCTCCGATTCCCTTAAGTCCTAGCCATGGAAATCATTGTACCTCTGGAAGCAACACTACCTTGTGACTACACTGCTGAGCTGACAGCTCTAGTAAAGGCAAAACCGCTAACAGCCGAACATCCGAAACACCAGTCACTCATGTCAGCTTTATGAGCCATCACATTCTTCGGAACTCAAAGTCTAAGAGGGCGTTTCTGATTACCCGTTTCAATAATGTTACAGAGTCAAATGGATTATCTGATCAAAAAAATATTTTGCTTATACTGGAGATGTGTCTACTTTTGTGTAATGCGTTAATTCTTGTTTAATACTGGGCGCCATTTAGGGTGGTTTCCCACCGTACCTCCGTGCCGGTAGCCCCAAGTCCTATTGTATGTCGGCAATACATATTCTACCAAAGTATTGTGTCTTCTCTCGCCTTTAAGGAAGTCTCAAGGAGCCACACTAAATAGATGCAAGATTTCCATTTGCCTTTGATAGCGACACACCTCGTCACAGACTTGGATTTGCCATCCTCATTGATGGTGAATTTGATAATTACTTTGTAGAAATCATTGGGTTCCTGTAAGTCAAAATTTATCCCACAATAAAGTTTTTCGTCTGACTAGATTTAAAAAAGTCCATTTCAGCCTAAAAATGATTCTACCTAGCACTGGAAACAGGGCGTTAATGGACTTCAAATAATTCTAAAGCTATTTCGGATTATCCAACCTATTTAAAATAACTGCTTTTTTAATCTTCACAAAATAGCTTTGACTACTACGCAAGTTGTAGACACACCAAAGTTTTTATTTAAGAAGCAAGCCTTAAAAATAATCAGCCGAGAATTTGCATGGCCAAATGTTACTTTACAATCCAATAACCAGTGGCAAAGTAGATCAGAATTTTTTATTATCACTAACCTCGAACGAAAAGAGGTGCTCAGATGAATTCACATTTTGTAAAACGTCAATTTATCTTCACAAAATAGGAAAATAAAATCAGGGAATATGCTTTTCTTTTATCGACGAGCGCATTTGCATGAAACGAGAACTGGCTTCTGCATGCGATACCAATTGCATGTGGTTTCATCCTTGTGGGGAGGGCTTACATACGTCAGCAGCACCACCGTTGTCTCCCCATAACCTACATAGAACATTTCTCGGGGCAGAGAGCATGAAGTGACACCGAGATTGACACATCGCCCCTCCCTAACCCACCGGGGCCCATTTTGCTGCCCGTAGTCGCGCCACGTGTAGAGAATCGGACAGGCACTGAACACTGTAGCTATTAGCCTAGTTTAAAGCTCAGAAATTTCCCTGATGTGTAGGCAGAGAACGCCAATGCGCTCTTTATGTCCCCTGAGGTGACTTCTTTTACCTTTGGGAATGATTAGTTTACCCTGAGGGTAAAAAACTGATTCCTGCGGTTGCGAGATTGCAGGAAGTGCTGGATTAAAGAACCGAGGACCAAAAAGGAAGAGCATTTCTCGTGTGGAGAGAAGGGCGTTAGAAGATACAGCAGGTAATGCCCCAAATTGTAGCAGATACGCCTTAGACAGAGAGGGTGTTACGGTTGCGGCTGCGGAAGAAGCGGTGGGCGATTTTAGGGAGGGTTCAATTAATATCGAAGAGATGTAAAGTTTAGGGTGTAATATGAAAGAGAGAGGCGACAATCAACCAAGATAAAAGGCGTCCAAACTGAATTTGATGACAAATACGGCACATGTAGTCTTTTGACCAATCGGGAGTCACCATCGGCGCCTCTGATGGCCAATCAGCAATGCGCCTTTTTGGGCGGAAAATCCGATTAACCAAATTATAATGAAAGACTTAATATGTGCTGAAAGAACTATTCTGGCTATAATTCCTGACAAAACTGCTGCATTCTAGTGGCATGTTTCGAGGAACGATTTTCCAAACAGTAGGCTACGATGCAAATCTTCAGAGGCAAGTCTTATTTTTTGCAAAGTAGATGCACAGCTCGCTAACTGAAAAAGGGGAGTCACTTGCAAGGAGTGTGAAATTTGACATTTAGTCTATAACTTGTTTTTTGGAATAATATGAATGGAAACGGCTGACTACTTCATCTTCCAACGCTTCAGAAGTCCCACTATATATTCATTTAAGCTGTCGGCTATTAAACAAATTCAATCATGGTTCGAAATAAATTCTACAGTGACAACCTAACCATCTCCCACTTAATCTGCGGGGTTCTCCAATGCCTTTCAACGTGGACAACATTAGACACTTTGGCTTGGGGAGAAGTAGCACCCGTTTATTCAGAATAGAACTTAAAACACTTATGATGCGAAACGGTTATTGTCTCACACATTAAAGACTAAACAAAGTTTTTTATATACTCGAGATTAAGTAAAATAAGGTACAGGTAAATAGAAACTCTCATCTACATCTCAAAAACTTAAAAAAAGTAAAAAGTGGGACCACCATAAATAGGTGTTTTCATCACTAAAATTCCGCAAATTCCGCCTTGAATTTCTCCCTATCGGCAATTTTGAGTTTCTCCTCATCCCACTTCTCAAAGTTGCTCGCATCCCCGGGACTCTTCACCTTCGGCACATACGGTGGTCGCACACTTTGATTAAAAATGGCCATAAAATCGACGTCACTGAAATAAGCGTGTCCCTTGATGTCCATAATGCCATTACGGAGGTTTCCAAAGCGCCTCGAGAGGTCAGTTTGAATGAGATTCTTAATGAGATCTTTCAAATCTGGACTGAATTGGTTGGTAAACTTTATTTTGCCTGAAATGATGTGCTCAAATGTCTTCATCTGCTCCTGGTGCATGAAGGGCGGAAACCCTGTGGTCATTTCATAGAGAAGTACGCCATAAGCCCACCAATCTACTGCGTGGGCATATCCCTTGTTCATGATAATTTCTGGAGCCATGTAGTCCGGGGTTCCACACAGAGTCCACGTACGCTTATCTTTAGGCAAAAGTTTCGCGAATCCAAGATCTGCAACTTTGATAAAGCCCTCACCGGTTATGAGTAAATTCTCAGGTTTTAAATCCCGATAAGTGATGGTAAGGTAGTGAAGATATTCAAAAGCCAACAGCACCTGAGCTGCGTAAAACTTGACCATACCCTCAGGGAAGCGACGCATGTTTCGCAACAGAGCGAACATCTCGCCTCCCACAACAAATTCCATTACTATGTAAAGATAGCTATTATCCTTAAAACTGTAGGCTAATTTGATGATTTGGTTAATATTGCACGCTGCCAGGATGCGTTTCTCCATTATAGCATTGTCAATTTGCCTTGATTTGACCACTTCCAACTTGGAAAGAACCTTCATTGCGTAGTACTTCTCCGTATCTCGATAGCGAACCAGCAAAACCCGACCAAATGCGCCTCGTCCAAGGGTTCGAATACGAGTGAAGTCATCCCAAGTAGCAGTGTTCTTGGGTGGAGAATTGAAGACCTCAAAAAACTCTCGAGATCTCGTTTCGAGGATCTTTTCAAACTCCGCTTGTGCCATGATCTATTCACACGGACTAAGCATCGACAAAATTAGTTTAGCATACTCTGCTTGTCCAGACGGTGTGGTGGAAAAATTTGATGAATACCTTCCACCCTTCAAGCCCTTCGATCAATAGATAGAGGCGCTGGAATGCGCGTGGAATGCCCTGAGGTTGACGTCACGTGACCTTAGAAAAAGCCGACCTCCACGCAATTATGACCAGTAAGAACCTGCTGTCAAACACTATATTTGAAATAGCATCAGTATTATTTTATAACGCATTTTTCCCCCACTTTCACAAACCGTATTTTCGTTATTGATGGGAGAAATTTTCACTTCTATAGTATTTTTCCTCTAATTGCTTGGTTAACTCTCGGTCTTAATAATGGACCACTCAGAAGTTCCACTATTGCACCTCTGATGGGTGACCAGACCTCCAGTCCTTCTGTCGGAGTATTATGCCGTGTCTTCAGGAAAGTCTTGCGGATCTATAGATGCACTAGTCACATCTTAAAATGAATCCTTTCTTGACATTATAGAATAGCTATGTTGCATTTGTTCCACGATGGATTTTGCATTCGCTGATTAACACAATTTGTTACTTCGCTGCAGTATATGTCACCCTTCACTTACGACCAAAGCCCACCCTAAGGTACATACGAAAAACCGATTTGAAGCCTCGTATAAGAAGGGAAGAAAATAGACTCAGCAATTATTTAGGCATGGTGAACCAAGTCTTTACATACAATTATCACTAATCTGATGAAAATTATCTCAATCTGAGTGGCTAAAGTTTATTGTGTTGATTTAAATGGGTCTGGGTTTAGTGCTCTGTGAAGGTGCAAATGCAAAATCTCACGGCGTCTACAAAGTAAACGCTGACAGGTTTGGTTTCACAGGTGGGGGACTGGAGGAGGCGCCAGGGAAGCTTTCACCTTCTTGTCAAGACTGTCTATCAGTGGTGCTCCCGGTTTTGTACTCCTAATCTTCTGGTCCACCATCAACTCCGACTCAATTATTTCAATCGCTGGATTGCCCTAAGATAAAATTATTGAGTGAATAAAATTTTACATTGATAAAGAAGTTAATTAAGGCAGAAAATTCCTGCGGGTGCAAATTCGAAATCTCTGCTTGATAAATCCAAATTTTTATTTAGTTAGAGAAGTGTTACGATTTTTTGTTCAACGATTGCTTAAGGTCAGTTGGGGTGAGGTCATGTTGCCATATTTTAAAAAGTCAAACAACCCTGTTAAGTGAAACGTCGACCGTTTATTTACCAATTGGGTAGCCACCGAAGGATTTAGGTTTAACTTATGCAAGATTTGAATGTTGAGTTACTAAATATATGAAAAAAGTTATATAAAATAGAAAGAAGGAAGCAGATAGGAAGTGAGTCTTAGGAGGTGCAATCGTAAGGCTGTCTTATCCTGAATTAAGCTATTTGTCCTACCATGTGAAAATTCAATGCTAAAAATGAAAAGGTAAAATAACAATGACTTCTCTTCCCGTCAAATGCCATCGATGCAAGACTATCACTTGATGAAGTGATTCAGGCTGCTGAAGTTCACACGGGAAAATACCCGACCCGAAGAAAGTAACTACCTTAGTGGGGGACTGCACGGCTGAAGTGCAGGCTTTGGGCGGTGTGCGAGAGGGTCGTCTGGGTGTTGGAACTTTCGTTTTTTTTGTACGTCGGATGGGTATCGGACAGCAGTCGGGCGGTATCGGTGGCCGAGTTCGACCTGTCACCCACCATGTGCGCATTGTTCCCTTACCCTTTTGGTTAAGAAATGGAAAGGCAATAAACAATCAACCTTCAATAGATAATAATGGCAGTAAAATTTTGTAGGTTACAGATACGAAACCGTAATATTTAAGTAAGATATATTTACAGCATCAAAAACAACTTCTTATTGCTGCTATCAGGAGCATTCCCACTAAAAAGCCCTTACCTTGACCTCAATTGTTCCCCTTTCCTCGAAGTGAAAGCCACCAAGTGTACTTAGTATGTCATGTGTGGCATCACTGCAATGAATTTTGTACGCTAAAAGTAATAAAAGGCAACATTTGCGATTTGCATTACAATATTTGCAGGAATTTGAAAGGACTTATACAAACCCTCTCCGTTGCTCTCCATCCGACTTGCTGTGTTGACAGTGTCCCCAAACAAGCAGTACCGCGGCATTTTCAAGCCAACAACACCCGCACAAACAGGTCCTGCCAAAAAAATGTGACAATTTTTAATCAAAAAAAGTAAAAAGTCTGTTTTTTGCTTCAGACATTACCTGAATGTAAGCCGACTCGAATTTTAAGTGGTTCATTTGGCATATGGGGGATGATAAAGGAGTGCGAGACCTCGACCAAATCCAGTGCCATATCCGTTATAGACACTGCATGCCGTTGACCATTCCTTCTCGGAACTCCGGAGGCTACCATGTCTAAAACAAATGCAAGTTCATGCTTACTTCCACACATCTAGCTCTTCTATGGCACACTTGGTATGTTATTTGGCATGGTATGGGGTTACCGCTCTGATAAATCTTTAAATACGAAGCCAAAATTTTAGCTCAACGTCTGTATATATTATTTTGGAATCTACAGTCAAACTACTTTTAAAGCTAAATTTGAAAACCCAATATGGGAGCTTACAAGCGTCTCCGATGGTCTCCACTTTGTAGACGTCATATCGGTCAATGATTTGGTCAAACTCGCTGTAGAGTTTGTTAAGCAGTGCAACAACCTTTTAAAAAAAGGTGAAGGCAAAAGCAGGCCTCTATAAAATCTCGAAAATAAAGATCGTACTTCTTTAGAAAAGCATAGAATGTGGGAAATTGGCTAATGGACACTGGTTTTAGTATAGGAGGACTACCTGAAAGGGCGTTGAATCCGAGGAGATGTTGGTAAAGCCAACAATGTCGCTAAAGTATATGGTACAGGAGGAGTAGGCCTCGGCTGGAACCGCCTGCCCACTGCGCAGTTGATTTGCGATTGTCTTTGGAAGCATACCTTAAATGCAATGTAATGTAAGTAGAAATCAGAATCTTGTTCAGTAAACTGACTTGGCAATATATAATACAGTCTACCAAAAGAATAGGGCAATTCATATGGTATTTCACAAATTTCAGTGTTGCAAACAAAAGGTACTACTACGTTTTTATGCTCTTTAATATAAATATATAATGATTCGGGCCAACTACTCATTACTTAAACAGTAGTATTTCATCCCGAATTTTGCACTTGGGAGTTATTAGAGATTCTGAATCTCGAAGATGCCTTTAGCCGAAGTGTAACAGTTGATTAATGTTATTTGATGTAGTCCCTTTAAAATTGGGTACAAAAATTCTCATACTTGCACTGCCATCATATCTCTGCATATATTCAAGTTTACAACAATGTCAACATTGAAATCTTCGCCCAAAGTCTTGCTCACCTCTTTGTTAAGGTAACATCATAAGTTATTTCCACAAATGATATTTAGTAAGGCAATCCTAAAGAGGATAAAAGTAGCATTTCAACCTACTGTGCAGCAATTCGTCTGTGCGTTGTTTCTCTGCGATGAGGTCTTGTGTCCTTTCACTGACAATGCTTTCAAGATGTGCCGAATATTTTTCCATCTGATAAAGTATGAACAAAAATGCACAATTTTGGTTACAACAATTGCGTATTATTCTGGCCATAGGGTCAGACATAATTTTTTGCCATATTTTAAGTGGTTTCCTTAAGCAAACCTACAAGACTGAGAATAATGTCAATTGGGTTTTTCCTTCTTGGGTTGATAAGGTCCATCTTTGCTCTGATGACGTCAAAAGCGGGTCTAACATCAACTGGACTCCAGCACAATCTGATAAGCTACAAAAATACAGTGTAAAGAGTCCGCCGTTATGCACGTATGTATTTCAGCCTTTCAAGGAGCATGTGGTCGGGTAGCTTACGTTAATGTATTCAGTCATATTTGGGGTGCTGTCATCAGCGCAACCTTCAAATGCATCCACATTTGGTAGAGGGTAGTCCCACCATTGGACCATCAGTTCCTGTCTTTCGCCTTCTGTCAGGTCAGGCGCGTTGAAATCTTCTGGGTCCTAGAGGCGTTAGATTTGAATCACTCACTGAGTGGCCAAATCAAATAAACCAAATCAGACTTAAAGTCTGATATTGATATTAAACTAGGGGAAAACCAGCAAACTAATCAAGGGACTGGTGCTTTTATTTCATATGGTGCAATGATGAATGCTGAGGTAGTGGCATATGAAAGTGAGATAAGAAACTCACTTCACGGGACTGGGCTACCTCACACATAATCGTTCCATAGCTGAACGAGTCCATGTGAATATTCGGCGGAGCAGGTGCATTACCTAAGTGGCGATGAATAAATGGTGGCAAAAACGCAAATGGCCTCAGAGGGACTTACCCCGATACTCCGGTGCAATAAATGCCCAATTTCTGGGATCCTCTAGAAAGGTTTCCAGCTTTTCCTCCGGTTTGTTATAGCGGATGGATTCCAGCCCAAAATCTGCAAATAACAGTAGAAGTATAAAGTGCTCGCATGGCAAATAAAATCTGCTTACCAGTGATCTTGCAAGTCAAACGGTCATCGACAACGCAGTTTTGTGAATTCAGACGTCCATGAATGAAGCCATGAGCATGAAGAAATTCAACGCCGCAGATGATATCTTGAATCAAAGAGAGTCTGATATGAATTTGCGTAAAAAAATGCAGAGCAAAGTGCTTACTTGAAGGCCCAACTGGAAGGCATCACCTCGTTGTGACACACATCCCGAAGACTTCGTTTTGGGCAATATTCCATGTAGATTGCAAGTTCAGGAGGTTCCAGACAAATTCCAACTAGTTGACACAAATTCCTATGACTCAGTTGCCTAAATGATAGGAAGAGGTAAGTAAAGGAAATGAAGAAGTTATTCAAACGAGAATGCAATGGAATTAAAAGTCGCAACTCACCGCATTGCCTTGATCTCCTTTCTAATGTTCTTTGTCAGAAGAAATTGTTCACGCTCAACGTATTTTACGGAGACAAGCGTATCCCCACTAGGTGATTAGGTAAGAATTAGCTAGATATTCTGTCCACGGGTTCAGTTACCAAGGTAATGGATTACATGCTCTAAAAATAAGATTGTTCATTACTGGTTTGTATAACATTAATTGGTTATTAAACAATCAGTTTTGGTAAAGGGGCCACTTAGGGGTTCCACCATTAGGCCCTTGCCGAGCAGCCTGACTTTTGGGCTACGTCTGTAGCCCTTAAGCGCTTTGGTAAGTCGACAATGCATATTCTGCCCGGGTTTTATGTCTTCCTTCGTCTCAGGGTGCGATAGGTTTCTTCGAAATTCCGCTTTACAATTAAAAGTGACTTGTGCATTGTAAAGAGAGAAAAAAGAAACTAAAAATTTGCAAACCCATTGAGGACATGTTTTTGCTTTCTAGTATAGACAACAGAAAAGGTAATGAAACTCACATTTTGCCATAGATAAAAGGTTTTCCCTCTTCTTCCTCGTCGGAATTATCTCCACTTTCTTCAAGAATTGCATGGGAGGTCTTCTGGTTGTTGTTTTCAACTAAAATATTCAAAAACAAAGTATTTGCCATTTTTGGGAAAAAATAATAAAGTGATGTGAGTGTATCTTTACTTATTGTGACGTTTTCACGGAGAATAATCCAAGAGTTGTCCCACAGAGCTAGTCGACTCCGTCGAAAGAAGAACTGGAAAAGAAAGTGCCCTCAGAGCATATTTTACAGTGTTTTGACGCAAATTCTACTATTCTCGATTTTGTCCCTACCAAAATACTCACTAAATACTTTCCTTTGATAAAAATTGAACGAATTTAATTGCTCAACTCTTTTGATTTCGCGGTACCTGAGGCTCCGCGTTCGTACTTCTTCTAAACGGCATGGACCCCAGACCTACTGTAAGTTGGCAACATATTTCCCATCATCTTATTACAAATTTTCTTTACCGCCAAGCCACAACTATCATATATCAAATGGAGTTACATAATCTATGCCGTCCAATAAGAGTTTGCTACTGCTAAACAAACGACTTTCTTAACATTACATATGTACACCTTAGGGACTCATTTAAAGAACACGTAGATCATACCAAACCAATAGCTCCAGTGCCCATGATGATTAGAAAGACCACTGCAATGATTGCACCACCGACTCGGGCTTCAAGACTGCAGGCGCCACAGTCTTTCGGGCAGGTAACACACGTCTCGTTCTGACTTGGATCGCATGCTCCATCACCACAAACTGTCAGCATTGAAATCACAATACTGAAGTAGTTTTAAGCCGAATTTATTTGAATTACATTATTGTCATAAGCTAATAGTTTGTTTAACTCTCGATTTTGGTAGCGGGCCACTGAGAGGGTCCATGATTGCACATCCTCCGGGTGACCTAGCCTCCGCACCATGCCACCAGCCTAAAGCTCTACCGTATGTTTAAAACACGTATTCGGTCCGGATATTATGATTCTTTCGTAGTCAGAGAAGTCTTGAGGAGTTGAAATTAGATAGTTGGGTGACTAAGAAGATATTTTTTTTAGTGGCAAATGTTACATGATAAATCCGCAGTGCTATTCTTTGTAGTTCAAAAGAAATCTTTTGCATACTAAGCTAATTGGTATGTTCTTTGATTAGAGGAATAAGCTAACGCCTTTTCTTGTTCGAAGAAGGACAAATTGGAGGAATGGATTAGGAGTTGTTACCTTGACTAATGACAGCTTAAAGTACATGAGCTCGAAAATATTCGCAAGTGTCATGGCACATTTCAACAGATGTACTCACCTGCCCGTAAAACGGAAAATAATGTTGTATTGGTAGATATCTTCAGCAGTCCAATGAAGAATGTCACCAAAATTACTGTATTCCCAGGCAAAATTAATTCTAACAAAGTAAAATGGGTAATAGTTTCGGATGACAATAAAGTCTTTTCAAAAATAAAATCTTTTAGCAATATTGTAATGCTGAGAAGCTCCGCAATTTTACGGTTTTTCGACGGTCTGTGCTCAAACCGTGCCACTGGACACCAGGTCCTTCAGTAGGTCGACAATACATATATTCTCCCAAGGTAATGTGTTTTCTTTCGTCTTAAGGGAAATCTCAAAACGCTACAATGGTTACAGCGGAAGGCAAGCCCTATCTTAAAGGACAACTATCCCGCTTTTTACTTCTGGGAATGATACTTTGTGCATATGCTATTGATAGGAATAATCAGTGACTAGTTCAAACGAAAGGGCTAAAAATGATGTTTACATTTAGCATCTATCCAAATTTCGTAATACAGGGGAATGCTATTTACAGTGGAAGCGGCACCGGCCCTGGCCAAGAACCATCCAAAAAGTTCGTTATGAGGTCATCTACCTACCCATATGAAGCATTCAATGAAGTGAATACTCGATGCTTTCTCCACGCTACCACTAGCTGGATAAAATCCAGATAGACTAGAAGTTAACGGACAGCACTGAATTGAGAACGGAGTGGTAAGGAGGAATTAGCGCGTAACCCTTGCCCCACGGAACCATTGTTAAAGTTCGGTCTTTTATACGCGACTCCGCTTTTGGGCCAGTGCTCTAATGACGAGCTATGGACACTCGCGATGGTCAGCACGTTTCCACTTCCCCCCAACCCACTTCCTATACAGGGCCAAACTCCAGATCTGGTGTAATTGTCAAGAGGGATCATTGAGGTTGCGGTCAAGTATCTTCTCAGTTATGCACAAATTTGATGACTAGAGAGGATACGACGCTCAAAATATGATAGTGGTCATGCGACTTGTTAATTGTCTGTTTCACTCCATTGTGGTAACGGACTACTGAGGAGCTCCGCCACTGTACCTCCACGGGGCAGCCTAGCCCCTTTACCATGACAGTAGCCCCGAGCTGTTCTGCAATTTGACAATACTTATTGCACTGAAGGATTGTGTCTCTTTTTGCCTTCAGGCACGTTCAGGGTCGCTTCAGTATGATTAGCATAATTACAAATCTTAATGTTGTCAAACAGAAAACCTGGTATGGTAGCATTCCACAGAGATCGAGATGCCAGTCCAAATTGCGGCCTATTGTGGCCGACAATAACGCCGTCAGTTGGAAGCCAGGGCCCACAGAATGTTCTATTTGTGAAGTTCTTGGAAACCGGACAGGTGTTGACTGTGAAACGCCAGATGCAACAAGTTTCCGGAGCAGGAGCCTCTGAACATGGTCCATTTTCGCAGAATCTTCGAGCTGCCTCCGCCGTCCTTTGTTAACAAATTAGTAAGATAGTTGTTTAATGAAGTTTTAAATAGACTTACTGTATTCGGTTGGGAAAGTATTTCTTTTCGATTGCCCAAGTGTAGAATTCCATGGTGAGATTAAATGCAGCGGTTATTTCGATGGGAATGTCGGCAAAAGTGGCATTATCTGGCAGCTTTAGCAATCTAGCAGTGACACCTATAAAAGGGAAGGGCATCACGTGGGTCAAAAATTACTTTTATTTTGTACATGGTTACGCGTAATTCACACTTTTACATAGCGTTAGCAGCTGCTTATAAGACCGATTTTAAGATGAGGATATTCCATTGATACCTGGACATTCCAACTCCGAGTTTGTAAGTGAATCTGCTTCGACTTTCCAGCAATGATGCACATCTTGTTGTTGTAGTTCAACCGGAGCCAAAAGTATTAATATCACTGTTACCAAGGCCAAAATCATAGAGCTCAACTTGAGTGCTGCTGAAATAAAATAAGTAGCGTTTTGAAAGTTATTACAATGGCAGGAGTGATTGTCAATTAACAGTTAGTCATCAAAGTTTCATGCAAGAAAAATAATATTAGAGCAATCTACTAAGAACAACATAGTTTTTCATTTTGCCCTATTTCTGGAGTTTCATGTCTGAATGTGAGCTAAAAATAAAGTCGAAAAATATCCTTAGAAAATTACAAATAATAAGTTTAAAACAGCCGGAAAATGATGAAAAAGTTATAGTTAACACCATACAGTTATAAGTTTGATTGTCATATCTTTTAAGGGCTTACAAAACTTGATTGTGGGCCTTAGAATGCACAGCATCGAGATTCGCCATTCCATCTCCACTCTGATTGTGTTCTCTACTCGTTCCCTCTAATTGTCGATTGCTCACATCACAAACTGTCCAGCAAACCCTATGTAATTAGAGGCACTCTGCTTTATGAATACAAGGTAACTTAGCCCCAGAAATGCAGCAGCATCTCCTCAATTTCGTATAGCATGTAGAGGAAGTGAGAGGCCACGGCGTGCTACATAGGAATGGTCTGAAACTTAATTCTCATAACGAATTACTCAAATTGCATCACAAAGATATAAAATGGGTGACCTCTGTCCTTGATAATGCAAATTATCTATCGTCATTGACGTTGCCAATTCCAGATTGTACCACAAACTTTTAGCCATTTTTAATATGAGTGTCGAGTCTGTTGGGCTACACCATTGTCAATTGGCAAGGCCGTGGAGACCAAGCAAATGTGTCTCACATTCGTTGAGAGGCAGCGATTACCCTCAGTAATCAGCAATTTGGTAGCTGCTCAATTAGTCTCACACAGACGTGTCTTTGCGACTGTAATTCCTTCCAACCAACTGGTAGTGGGAAATACTTTCTCTACTCCAACATGCGTCAGGTGAACGAGTACGTCACTCAGCTAGTCTCGAATGATGCCCCCACTACGTCTCACTCTGAGGCAAGCACTTCTTCATTTCCATATGTCTGTGTATAACTTATGTGGAGACCTCCAAAGTAACCGCTCGTCATGAGCCCCTTGCTGGAAGTATAAAAACGACAACTCTTGATTTTGGTAAAGGACCACTGAGGGTCTCGACTATTGTACCTCCGCCCTGCGGCCTGGCCTCCAAGCCACGCCGGTAGTCCCAAGCCCTTCTCCATGTCGGGGCACCCTAAATGGAAGTTGGAACGCCTTTTTGTTGCACACCATGAATACTGATTTAGAATGCTTTTACAGAACTAAACTGCTGTGCATCGTAAAGTTCATTTTGTCATTGTGAAGTTCCGTGTTTCCCTAATGAACGAATGTACCGTCGGTAGGGAGTAGGAAAGAAGGAAGACAGGTTCTAAAACTGCTGTTTTATTTAAACCATAAACAAGAACTCTTCTATATTTAAACTACTTCCACTAATTAACATTGAACAAACTTTTAATCAAGCATGATATTCCCACTTGACCTAATTTAGTACTAGTAACATTTTATTTTCTTAAAATCAAGCATAATAGACTTTTAGAAACTACAATTGTGAAAAGCGGTTAATGATGTAAGTGGAATTTAGATTTAATGGTAATCATCTTAACTTGAGCGTTTGAAAAATGAATACGAAAAAGACACTGGGAACTCACAACTCGGAAGGAGGTACTCGAGCCTGCGCTTTAATGCAAGTGGGGTTGGAAGAATGCGTATCTGAAGTAGGGATAATTACATCCCCTAGGTATACTAGTATAGGGTTGTTAATCTTACAAACGGAACCGCCCATAACCACTAAAATCTAACAAATCGGATTGAGACTGGGTAGTTCGTGGTGGCAGTGGGGCGTATCACTTACACCCACACACAAACATGAGAGCGAATGCAAACCCGATGTTAAGGAGAGATGGAGAGGGAGAGAGAAAGACTTAATTGCTCTTGTCTACCAAATAGCATTCGACTTTCCTGGCGTCAGGGATATCCCTTTACCCCTGTAACCAGGGCATGTGCTTTCGCTCTACGGCACGTCCTTCAGACCATGATAAGTGAACTCTCTTTTATACGCAAATAATGCCTTTCCTTGTCCCTGCACCACCTTGGTTGTTTGCCCAAGTAATCGTTTCGGCTAAGCGGCACTGAAGGGCATGCCATCGTGTTTCCATCCGCAGACCTTCCGTATGTCGGTAGTACATATTCTGCCCCAGTACGATGCCATCTTTCGCCTTAGAGCGGTAGCCCTTGGCGTGCTACATTAAAATGCCTTACTTAGACTTAAACAAAAATAAGGACAGAGCAATTGTGGAGGTTTTTAGCTATCATTAGCAGCAAATGAGGAGTTGAAAAGAATAAATAAACCAAACAATATTCTGTGGTTATCAATTGATATTGCATTAGCACACAATTTCGTGTTGAAGTAATTTAATTTTCTTAAAGTTTTTTGTATCACCTGATGTATATAGCGTTTTGGTTGTACTAATATTGCAATAGTTGAACTTTCGAGATGTCACACCTCAGAATGGCGTCATCCCATTGTCGCCAGATCACTTTGCTAAAGGTAAGGTACTTGAGAAAAATTGTTTTGTGATAATACAGTGTAAAAGCAGTCGCACAGTTCTGAGTTTGAACCTTTGCCGTAATTGCTCCCCCTTCTCGTAGGCTTAGCTGTTCTCGCATACACTTTACCTCCATAGTTTTTATTCTGGCTGGTAAAACTTGGACGTTGATATTCCTTTTTATTTACCTAAAAATCGTACTTCACCTGTCGCTGCATTTGGTATTTTGCCACTTACCTGTGATTACTGGGTGGTTTGGAACTGAACTTCTAAAATTCACTTGTGTAGGGAAAAGAAGTCCACCTTGTCGCCTCAATTTAAGCTGTCGATTTTTGCAATCCTTTCTTAACTACTTATTAAATAATAAGTAGATCACCACAGGGCATATTTTATAATAATTAAATTTGCTGTGTCAGAATGCTGTACAACTTGTAATTGAAAATGCAGAAAGCAAGTAATTTAAGCTAGAAAATCGTTTAATAATTTTATATTTTGAACAATATTTAAAATGCCTTTCGCAAAAATTATCTTGATTAAGTATGCGAAATTCCATACAGTGATTATGTCACCACTGGCGCAACCAGAAAGAAATAGGAATAAAAACAAAATGTTTTACTTTTTTATAGCAAGTTACAACCACTTCTTTTGCACAATATCCTCCCCATATTCCTTCCAGCGCTCCCTGGTAATAACCATTGAGGAAAAAGTTGGCATGGAGGCAAATATCTGTCCACCACGCCAAACTCCAAGGTCTTTAGCCAAATGACTTTGCACATTGCAGTTGGGCAATGCTGCCTTCAATCGCTGTTCCAGTCCCTTGAACTTCGAATTACCACCCGAGAGAATGACGTTCGTTAGAAGTGCATTCGATTTCTCGTTAGGCAATTGACTGGCTGCTTCTAAAACCGCAGTTTCCATTGAAGGCACCTTTGTATAGCCATTCAGTCCTGGACTAAAGATCAATTCTGGTGCCAATTTCAGTTCATTTCCCAACTTTAAGAGCTGCCCATCAGGCATCTGACAAGATTGAGCATTCTTCGAACTCTTCTTGGAAGGCGAGGACGAAAGTGGTTTCGACGCTACACTGCAAAAATGCGATTTGATGTAGTCAATTTCGGCAGGTGTGGAATCATTCAGTTTTACACCGGCCAGCTGTTTCAAATATGTGTCAATATTACGTCCTCCAAGGGAGTAAATGATTTCTGAAGAACGTTCTGGATAGAGGTCGAAGAGGCCATAGACACTGCTGTAACTGTAGCCGGAGTCGACAACCAGACAGGTGGGTTTTCCGGAAGAAAACCCACTAAGAAGAGGCTGAGAAGCGAAAAAGATGGATTTTACGCCAGTGTGCTCAAGCAACACTTCAGCTAGTTGGTTTCGGTAAGCTGGAGTGAATGCCAAAGGCAGAGCCAAGCAGAGACTGACGCTGTGTGGATCACAATGAAGAAATCGGAGTGCATGGTTTACATAGCGCTCAAAGTATTTTAGAGAGAGCTCCGTGCTGTCGAAGCGTTTTATTCGACCATCTTCCTCCACTGCGGTCTACAATGCGTGGGTAACGAGATGCGGTAAGTGGCAGTATAACTCCTTTCAAGTACTTGAAAATGTACCTAGTGGGTACTCCACAAGCTGCGGCACATCATCAGGTATTTAATTGTGATGCATTGAGAGGATGTCAAAATGATAAATTCATTTAGATGAACGATTTATGGTTTTATTAATTCAGATTAATTGTGTCAAGATTTTTAACAACCAGTTCTAATTTTCGGAAGCATTTATGCCAATTCTGACTGATTCTAAACCATGATCTTAAGTAACCTAAAATGTCTTCAGCATTTGAAAGTTCCACCTCTTGTAAAAGGGTGTTCTTCCCTCTATCAACGTAATTTGGCCTTAGAAATGCATTTACTCATCATTTAGGCGACTAAATCTGGTAGAACTTACACCGTTAAGCATGGATGTCTCAGTTAGGAAGGAGGATTTGGGTTTATCCAAGTTAGCAAATCCCACGCGCCATCGGTAGGTTCCAGGGTCAATAACAATCGGCGCAGTTGGGATCAACAGTTCCCGCATTCTTTCCTGCCTGAAATTGAAATAATGTCATTGTGAAATCCGTAGATGCCATAAGTGTTATGCGTGGTGCCATCATCTCAGAAACGCACTACCTGATTGGCTGTCTGTGTAGATCCAATCTTCACACCTGCTCTGCCATCGAGAGAGGGTAGAAATTTTACCATCTAAAATAAAGATATTAAGGTGGTCTTTTTAATTCCAAGTTGAAGAAGGCTTTAAATATCTTGGCCAAGATTAGCCCGTTTATGGGGGTCGATAAAGAGCAAAGGGTGACCTTGAATGTCTCAATTAACCAATGGCAGTTAACCAGGAGGGTAGCCTGATTAACTAGTGAGTCGGCATCCAATTGTGCAAAACGTGGTAGACGTCTGGCAAACACTCGAAGTTGTGAATGTATTGCACAAAAAGGACAAATTCATGTTAAACATTAGGGGGCATACGGAATTCATATGGGCATCGACGACAATTATTTCTTCAAGTGAAACGCAAAGCATTTAACTATAAAATATGGCTGCAAAATGAAAAATGTGGGTTAAATTTTCAGGTATATGTAATCAGTAAATACTTTTATGGCAGTGGCATAATACAAATAACTTTTAGTAGGGATATTATTTGCAAAGACATGTAGCCCCTCGAAGACGCTATGTTGGTATGACATAGTAATGTCTCCCAGAAGTCTATAGATGCATTATAATGAATGAATGAATGAATGATCGACACCTTCCACGTTATGTCGTGAAGTCCCTGGTGATTGAAGCATGGGAATGAGCAATTTAAAGTACAGTTTTAGTCCATTTAACTTAGGGCAGATTTGAGCTGAGAAGTGCGGTTCTCAAAATAGACTTTAAATATAACGCCCTGATACTTCCCCTAAGACGTAGGAAAGCATGCTGCTGAAGCGGGATCTGTATTGCTTACATACAAAAGGGTATGGGGTCTATTGTCATAACCACGAGGCCAGGCTGCTTGGCAAGAGTACAATGTCGGAGTGCCTAAGTGGCTCATTAACAAAACCGAGGGTTAAAAAAACAATTAAAGTGGTCCCTTACATTCTTTCAAACACAGAATCTCTTCATGCATTACTTATTAATTCTTCTACGAGGTCATTGGTGAGGCCGCTTGTTGCATATAATTAATGGATTAAGTGACATAGGCTTCATGTGAAAGCTCTTCCAGTTCTCTTACTACTCCTTTGGTGATCAGCTAATTCCATCCTGAGATTGTTGTCATAAAAGCAGTTGATGGGTTGCACTGGCTTTCTGCGAAATCAAACAAAAGTGAGAATGGGTTCCACTCCAGGGGCTCCGTATGTCACATGCTAGGATTATTTTGGTAAAAAAAGTATATTATGCACACTTTCTGCTTTTTTGCTGTGGTGAAATTGTAATTGTTACTTTGTAAACAGATAAAGGAGCAAGAATTGATCGGTTTTCTGCTCAATTCCAATTACTCAATGATCATATCTACTACCATTGTTCTGATTCTCATTGTGAAAGCTGTTAAAATTGGACGATCTTTCATAAATAATGCATGCTACGTTTAATAAAATGTTCTAGCAGACTCGTATAACAAGGGACGGGCTTTAGCATAGTTTCGTGGGGGCAGGGTTACGGGTTGATTTCTCCCTGCCATTTGTAAGTTCCATCCACCTAGTAGAGAGGTGGAGGTGTCACGTGTTTACTTCACTGATATCTTCTTACAGCTAAGGCAGACAGCTCAGTAACAAACTCTGATAAATGGTTCACGACTGATGTCGCTTCATTTGTTAATGGCTTTCCTTCAGAGCAGGGGACGGGTGGTTGCCGAAGGTAGGCGTTATTTTCAACGATTGTGTTAGGTGTCGTCACTGGTTCTCCCATTCACAACATATTCCCTTCCTCCGTTAAGTTCCTTACGTTAGAGTTTACTCGCTTCCGCCACCAACGTGGCCCTCTAAGATCTTTTTAAAGACGACAAAAGGCATAATACTTAAGCACAATTTGTATTGATGACCCAGGGGTAGTTTCGTTGAGCAAAAGTACAATCTCAGATACCTAGGTGCCCTCGAAACCAAAAAACGTGAATTAAACAAATGATTAAAGCATTACAAATGTATATTTGCTAAATTGTCACTATTTCAAGGATTTGATTCAAGTTTGAGCGTGTCTTTTGACGGCACTTTCCAGCCACTGGCTGGGAGTGCCTCTGGCAGATGTGATTTGAAGTGATAGAGTAAACATTATTTGTAGACATTAAGCTGTTTCGTTTCGTAGGGTTGTTTGCAAAGCAAACATGAAAATAATTGCTTGCATTCAAAAATAGCTCAAGTTTTTTCCATAAACGCCAAGTCAAGTTATTTAATCACACTTGATGTTGACTGTCAGTTATATTAGCCAATGTGGCTCTACTGAAACGCTCGAAATCTCTTTCCTGATTTTACCATGAATGCGACTTGGACCACTTTGGTAGAATTTTTCTCCTTTCATTTATCAAATTTACGATTCTGAGTCTGGGTTACAGAGCTGAAGTTTGAGATGTCTAACAATCCACTGCTTCGTCTGTATACAGAAAAAATTCATTACACCACTTAAGTGACAGGATAAGTGAAATACATCCAGAATTTCATTACAACTACATTCACTGCTTGCGCTGGTTCAAGTGAAATGTTTAACAAACTGATTTCACATTGAAATCACTTTCCTAATTCATGCTTGCAGGGTGGTTTCAACTTCTATGTTGCCTGGAGGCCATGCTGCCAAGGAAAAGTACCGAGATGGAGACAGAAGGAAGAGTTGGTTGGGCTGACGAACAGCTACTGTAGGATTTGCGACTTCAATGAAGAGCCATTTTTAAACACATTCCTACTTACTCAGGTCTCAGGTAGGAGCAATTGAAAATTTCTAGTCCCTATCACAAGCCTAGTAGGACACCGGAATGATATGCTTCACCTTTTTGTTTCGTGCGACATTATACGATTTTGTCTAAGGGAATGAAACTATTCCATTGGCACGTTTTAAACATCTTTCCCACTTATTCAATGCTATTGTCCAAAAAACCAGTGTCTCCACTCCTGCCACGGTTTCTTCTTTTAGCATATTTCCCCGAGACCTTCCTGAAGATGAAAGAAGGCACAATGCTCTGGCACAACATGTACAGTCGACTCACAGAAGACGTTGGGGCTACTAAAGTGAACCTAAGGCTAGCTTACGCAGGGATGTACAATGGCTTGTTACTAAACTCGATATTAAAAAAACCTACCTACGTATTACATAACTCTTTTCCTCTTTTGAGCATAGTCCTCGATGCTCCACCTAGTCAGCCTCACGCGTCAGCTATCAAAGCATAATCAGCGCTGAGAAAAAAACACCAACGAGCCAACATTGCTAGACATCGAAAAAGCGCACAAATGAGATGTTTGACAGCAACGTCACAGTGGATCCAGGCGTTTCGCCTTACAGGGGAACTGTACTAAGGGAACTAGGGAATGTGCTGATCATCACGCATTTCCATCGCTAGTCAAGGGGATACTGGCCTAACAAGAAGGTCATAAGACAAAAGACAGGGTTTAACAAATTTCGTGATACTTTGTTCTCACTTTAGTGCTATCCAGCCATATCTGTTTAGGTTCTATTCAGAAAGTGTAGAGATGGAGGAGGCACCGCTTTTCACTTAGTTGACTTCTTAATGCAGGTAAGGTAGACGGCTGAATATGTATCGTCGACCTACAGGAGGGGGCTCCTAAGTGACCCGCTACCAAAATCCAGGGTTATGTATACGAACAATGTATCACACTGCTTCTCCTGACCGTAAGTAAAATCGCCACAGCACTGACTCGACAATAAATTAAGTTTTTGATATTTGTTCCACTTCATTTTGTTGAGTTTACTTGTTTCGACTTAATATAGCATTTTCCACATTTTTAAAATAGTGTCGAAAAATTCGAAAATGTAATCGCGAATAAACCAATTGGATAATAGTGAGATTATTTACTTCGAACAAACTTTAACTAAAATAATATGCTACGTGAAAAAATGCACTGTATGGGTATTTCGATCCTTGAAAAATATTATCCTCAAAGCACCTTCTAATCTCCAGCTAGTGTCCATCGTCAACTCATAAAATGAGCACAGTGGTAAGCAGGTGCTACCGCCTCATTTACGCAGGTTTGGTGGCACATAACACATGCTTTTAATATTTATACTCCTGCATGGCTCAGGCTCCAAGAGAGGTTTGAAAGGGCATATGGGGCAGATTATATCTCACTTTGTTTATTGAAAATAAATTCACAAATACAGGGGCTCTAAGTAACCAAGTTAATTAGTTAAAGTTCAATTTTTTTGAGAGCAGAGACTAGGAGGATAAACCAATGAACATTTCATCGGTCTTGGAATGGAAGACTGCCAAGTCTTCCTGGCCAACAATTTGAAAATGGCTTTATTGAATAAAATACTTCTAGTGATATCACTAGCGAAATGAAATGCCATTTGTAATAGCGAAGTGAATGAACAACTATTGTTTATTTAAAGGACGGCATTAAATAAACTCCGTGTCAAATTGGAGACAATAGAACACTTATTTAAACTTCCCTAATGTAAGGTTTTACGGAGTGCCTCCTGCCAATCACTATATTGTCAGTAAGTCCCAAATGGCAACAGACGCTTCTCATTTTTCATTTGGCACAACAAAGAGGGAGGGGTACATTTGTGGAACAATTGATTTCCTCGTGCTCCATTTCTGAAAATCTTGCGGGCGTATTAACTTTTATGCCTTTTTAATATTTACTACAATGAAGCCTGTCCCATCCAACAGCCTGTTTATATTTTTTTTCGCCTTCCTATTGGCTCCTCACTAACTAATGAGATTTGGTCGCAGAGTTGTGTCTACAGAGCCATACAGTCACCTATCCCCTCGCATTCGAGTTCCCAAAGATGCTGTTCAATATCCACAGGACGTCTCTGGCTGATAATAGCAGATCATCGGCTTTTTGCACCAGCGGCAATCAGAGGGACCACAACAGACTTTATCCAACGCTCAATTGTCAAGAAGATCTTAGCTACACCACGCGGCGTCGCAATTTTGGTAGACGAAGTTGGTCTTCCACTGGGAAGTCGCCATTTCCCGAGAAGCAGTGGCTACTGAATCATTGTGAAGGCAATGAATCCCTTTTGTTGAATCAACAATCGCAGCACACTCGAACTATATCAGTGGCAGGAATTTGTCGAACCCTCTCAGACAGTCTGAAGGATCACTTTCGCGTTGGTGTTAACAGGCCTCCAACACCGTTAAATACTCCTAACACCAAAAAGAGTAACTCCCTTCAGGCACCTGAGTCCTCTACTAGATTTGAGCGTCAGCATTCCTGTGAAGACTGCAATTTTCACACACCCTGGAGGTACCAACCATCATACCGTCTAGATTCTCATGAGGACGAAAGTCGACAGAAACGTCGCTTAAAGCACTGTGAACCTCATCCGACACTGGAAGGCGCAGGATCAGTGAAAACTTCTTCCCACAACACAGATTCTCACTTGCTCAATTCCACAGTCAAAGAAGCTGGGAATTTCGGAGACTCTTGTGGATCAGTTGGGAGTTTGGGAGACACTTCCTTGCGGCAGCATGATTCCAACTTCTTCGCATTATCTGGTTTCAAACAAAAAAGGGTTTTGCTGAATGTGGGAGGGTCACAGCACGAGGTGCTATGGAAGACGCTGGCGCGACTACCCAACTCACGTCTCGGTCGTTTGTGTCGCGTGAAGTCACATGAGGAGTTAATGTCCCTGTGTGACGATTACAATTTGGCAAAGAATGAATTTTTCTTTGACCGGAATTCCACATCTTTCGACGCAATTCTAAACTTTTATCGAACACGAGTGCTGCATTTGGTTGAAGATATGTGTGTTGTTGCGTTCAAGGATGACATGGATTATTGGGGCATAAATGAACTTTACCTTCATCCCTGTTGTCAGCAGCGCTACCATCAACGAAAGGAGTTGGTCGAAGACGAGCTTAGGAAGGAGGAGATTTCCCTTCGATGGCTCCAGGATGAGGTCGGCATGAATGGCAACGACTCAATCTCAAAAACCCGATTGAAGATATGGCAAATCGTTGAAAAGCCGCATTACTCCATGACCGCTAGAGTAAGAAATGAAGAGATATTTTAAAAGAGATGAGTAATCTACTGTCTTGTGCACCAGCAATTTTGACTTAGATTAGTCACCTTTCGCTGTCTAGTCTTTTGATTTTTGGTGCTGTTATTGCTATTGGCCAACGCCCTACCACTAAAATCTGCCTCCATGTTTATTCAAAAGCATTTTCATGCTTAAATATTCTCCAGTTTCACCAGTTAACGCTCCACTAAGCTGTTAGGGCTAGGGCAGGGGTGTTGAATGACGCCCCCATCACCCCCCTTCCCGATGTGTACACACACAATTGCTCTGATAGTGAATCCTTTCGGTTCAATGTTGTGATGGCCTTAACGGCTACCCTAAATTATGAGGCTGTAACAAAGTGACTATTCCCTTGTGCAGTGTAACGAACCGTGACCACGCGGATTCATAACCGCATCCGTTTTTATAAATCGCCAAAGAGAATTTGAATATTTTAAGGCCTCGGTTTTTACCGCATTGCAGCCTGACCACTTTGGTCGTTTATTGAAATGGGAGCGTGATCACTATCCCCAGTCCATTCCAATGCCGTTAACGGACAAGCATCTTATTCTAGTTGGGATTAGGCCATCCAGTTTAGCTGAATGGAGCTGAGTGGCATTAAAGTAGTAGTTTATGTTTGTATTTTGAATTATCCCCAAAGGAGATGCTAAAATGGGTTGATGGGCAAGCCAAGGTTCTTTTTCATTTTACAACCGCTTGATTGTATACGGAGGAGTGGATTTTTTTTGCATCCGTTAGTTCTAGAGTCTATTTTACTGATTACTCCGACCTGCGATTGTGTAGAGTTATACCTCACTATACCGTGGATCAAAAGTTAACGAAATTTCATCACCCAACATTTTGGAGTTTATGAATGCTTTTCTTGCATAAAAGAGATCCTCGGCGGCTCATTAGAGTGAGACGCCGTGTGGCTAAGATATGCGTTCTTAGAGGCGAGGTAAGTTTGGGTCCGGATTTATTTAGAATATACGCAGCAGACTTCCAATGTTCTAGTAAAGAAGAGCAGTTGCGCCAATTTTAAATGACTGCTGTAGGAATTCATGCTAGCATGGATAATTTAGAGCTTTTTAGGGGATTTATTTTAGGAACTTAAAAACCACTCCACATTAATCGGACTTCCGCAACTCGGGCTTTGGATTTTTTGGCAACGGATCTTATGTTTCTGAAGTGGAATCGCAATTGCGCAACACATGTCACATTTGGCATGTGGTAATTGCTATACTACCTTTTCTACTTTATAGATATTTGCGGTCGTTTCAATAGTCTTCATTATCATCTCAACTGTGAGTTTAACAATTGGTACTCTGCCGCAATTCCAGCCCAATATCACAGAGCTTCGTCAATCATCCGACCTGTTCCTTTCCTGGTGTCAAAAAGTGAACGGGAGTGAGAATGTGGATGACATGGTCTGCGAGAACCCCTATCTCAAGATTGTAGAGTTCGTCTGTATCGCCTGGTTCACTTTGGAATACTTGATCCGACTGTGGGCCTGCCCAAATCGATGTCACTTCTTTAAGGATTCACTCAACACCATTGATCTAATTGCTATCATCCCCTTCTACGTGCACTTAATCATCGTAGAAGTTGCCTCCAGGAATAAATTCAAGCCTCTGGGTTCTGTGCGCAAGGTCGTACAAATGTTTCGCATTCTAAGAATTGTTCGGATATTTAAACTCGCTCGACACTCAACAGGTCTTCTCTCCCTCGGTTATACTTTTCGCAGATCCTACAAGGAACTAGGTCTGTTGATGACGTTCGTTGCTATGGGAGTGATACTATTCTCCAGTCTTGTATACTTCGCGGAGAAGGATGAAAATGGGAAGATGTTTAAAAGCATTCCTTCGGCTTTCTGGTGGGCTGCTATCACCATGACAACTGTGGGGTATGGTGACATGTTACCTCAGACACCGATTGGCAAGGTGATTGGTTCAGCGTGTTGCATTTGCGGAGTTTTGGTGGTAGCTCTGCCTATTCCCATAATTGTCAACAACTTTGCTGAGTACTACAAGGAACAAATGAGACGAGAGAAGGCTTTGAAACGCAGAGATGCCCTAGAGAGAGCTCGGCTGTCTGGAAGTTTCTTCTCTTTCGAGTCGGATGATCTCTTTAAAGATGAAGCGGGGAAAAGTGATGGATCTAGGTTGGAGAAACAAACGAGCAAAGTTGGACAACCAATTTCTAGCCTTTCTGTGTATCTTGAGGAGGAAATGGTGGAGACCGAAGGCGTTGTGGTAAGGAATATGGCTTTAAGATATTTCATAAAGCCTCCCTTCCACTGTAGTAATATTAAACTGGCTCAATTCAAGGCTAAATAGAGCTTCTTAATTATGTCACAAGATCAGAGATAGCTGCGCAGATTGACTTATCTAAAGGAGTCCCTTCAAACAGCTCTTTCAATTTGTTAGAGAAAATCAAAGGCTGATAATTTGAGAGCGATGAAATTTGCTACATCTTGTCAGGTCATTTAAATTACAAAGTCTTTTAGCGACTTTTGAGCGAGGGTTATTAATCTATCATACCATAGCTACGTGAGACAGCACATGCAGCACTTTGTTGACCTACGAGGATTCCCCATTTCGAACGGTGGCGTAGCTCCCAGAGCCTTCCCTTAGGCAAGCGAAGGTAAAGGTCGGGCAGAATGGGTATTATCAAAGGCCAGTCTGCCTGGCAGAGGTACGACGGCGGGCACCCCAAGTAGCCATCTACCGAAACCAAGGGTTAAACAAACAACTAACGTATTACATGTGTCACAGATAGCTTCACTGGAAATCCACGGGACAAAATCCTTTGCCCATTATAAACTCAGCATAGCTTTATACAGTTCTTAGTAAGATGGTTATCATCATTGGTTGGAAACACCATTGCGTAAATTACGCCACCTTATCAACAAGGCTTCCAATGCTTTTCAAGTGCTATCTGGAAAAGGTGGTTTATTGAAAATTAACAGCGAGCCTCATTCATCCATTTAGGCCCGCGTTTCCAGTGCTCCCAAGATACCTGGAAAGTGTACAATAGTTTGATAATTTGGATATTGCATAAACGGGCTATTAATGCACACCCTGGAAGTTCAAAATTTGTTGCCAGCAGGCGCCTACGTTAATTGATAGACAAACAATGAACACAATGGGCATCATTTCTCATTCCAACATTAATTTCAACTACCACTTTCTGCACCAATCAAATTATTCTTCAATAAAAGCATAAAAACGTGCCAAGGTTGAGATTTAGTTGATTTTTAAAAGGACATATGTGAAATTCTGGCTTAAAAATTCATTCAATGCAAATAAGTACATCATGGACGTTTTCGATTGGAAAATTTTTGACAGCTCTTCATTTAACCCTCACTTTCCTAATCGCATTCATGGTTGTTCTTGCGACAACCCAAAAATTTCCCATGTTCTACTGAAATAATTAGACTCGTAATTAGAGCTGCTTGATAATAAGTATGATACCTTTCTCAGTAGCAAACATGCTGCAGCGATTACTTTCATCTTGCCTTAATCACGTAACTAATCATCGATAGATTTTACTGTTCTTACCTTTTTTTACTTTAGTATGGGAAATTAAATGCCACTTTTTTGGGGATTCAGAAATGGCCCTATTAGTGCCGGACTTTGGCATCTTCAGATTCAAGTGTTCCTATTTTTAAGAAAACTAACAGACGAACTTTGGCAGCTAACCTAGCATTCATCAAATCTAAAATGGGCTTTTTCACTCGACCTGTGTGGTATTTTCTTGCTTAACCCGACTGGTGGGTCAATGCGGTAGACATTGCGGCCAAACCACTACGCCCTAAGTGTACTCTTTGCTCAGAGGAATCCAACTAGATAACCACGAGTAATACCGCGTGGCAAGTCCTGACCTACTGATGCCCTGAATAGTTTATTCCCTGGGAGCTATTTTTTCTTCTAAATGACTACGATTCAATGCCTTAAATCATGCCATCTATTGAACCAGCTTTATTTTCTGCCCATTACATGCTTCCAACTTCTTACGTGATCGAAAAGCCTACAGATGGCTTACGGGGTCGCCCCCACACCCATCATCCACATTCTACCTAGCCCTCTTCCGCTTGCCAGGGAGCAAACAAATTGTTTTAGTCTATTCCAGAGATGCACCTAAATTGTTAATGAAAGTATTTGTAGAAGCAGAAAAAGGACAATTAGTTGTGATCTTTTGGGGAAGGGAACAGAATAATGAGGAGGGCAGACTTAATTGCTTCCGCATGAACCGACAGTTGTTGCTCCGCCGTAGAGAACACGAAATTCAATCACACCGAAATACTTTGCGAAGGCCTTAACGAAGTAGAAACACAACTTGATTCACAGAAAAAAACGGGGAGTTTAACCCCTCCTGACAAGGAGGCGGCTTGAGTAAGTCCTTGCCTTAAATGGCCAGCTAGATGGATGTCTGGTTTTCGTATACAGCCTTCATGAGCTAATGATATGGTAAATAGATTTAATTCAATGCTATCAGACTGAAGATTTATGTGCTCTGAAAGCATATAATTTTGAGGGAGTGCTAAACCCCAGGTAATAATTAATGGGCCCAATAACGTCAGTATCCCCAATCACTTGTCGCATTGAGGACAGCTATCTGCATCTAAAATAAGCATTCTACATTTCTAGGCCGAAATAAATGATTACAAATAAATGTTCATTTCAATTCTCGATTTTTAGAATCCCAAGATAAGTCTCCGACTGGAATTACTGGCGCATGATTTGAAATTCGGGTACCTGTTTTGGCCGATTATAAGTCGAGAATATAAACTAGGCGCGAAAAAGCGACCATTTCATGAAAGTGGTTTTATGCCTCGCTCTAGGTTTACTTGAAAAAATATTAGCACATCTTAGAATAATTTGTTGAACCGTTATTTTAGAAGAAACCTCTCAATTAAAATGGCATGAAACTCCCAAGAGAAATCACAAGTTCTATTTGATACAAAATTCACAGTTAGAGACAAATTCTTTTGCAAACCAAGAAAATAAGTCATCTGATGGGGGTCGCAACCAAGCAAGATGCGGACTGGAACTAACAATTCTTGTGATTGCAGCGTCGGTGCTACCAATGCCAATAGCCGAAATGTTTTAAACAATTTATTATTGTTAGAATAATAAATGCGTTAAGTTATGCTCTAGTTTGCCACTAATTTGCGGTTAAAAGCTTGCTTTCTTTTAGGACTTCTATTTCCTTTAAATATGGAATTATTTGGTAGAGGAACTCTTCTCTTACCTGGCCATTCCGTCTTTCGTGTTTTCTATTTATGAAACTGGCTTTATGGTTCCGTTTGGTAAAATAATGCAGATATTTGTGACCTAGTCGCGGTTTCCCCAAAGGTCCTCCTAAATGTAACTTGAAAGAGCTGTTAAACTCATTGTGCATTTAGGAGTAGCTACAAAATCGTAGATTTCGCAAGAGTTCGAGGACTTTCTGTGAAGCAAGGCTTTTTTAATCCCATCTCAATTTACCTTCCTCAAATTACTGTTAGCAAACGAAATTTACGGTATTTATTATATTACTGTTAAAATACTAATTGCAGTTCATAAAAATTTCACTGATTTACATGATGTCGGTTTCACTGTAAGAAATGAGGAAATGGCAGCCTTCTTCTAAATGAGTAACTGGAGCTCTGCGTCAGTGCTTTTAAACGAAAAGTGATTCTTAGCACGTAGTTAGTTGTTACACCGTTTTTAAAGGAGAGGTAACCCCGGGAAGCCAACTTTAGCTGTATGCAATGCAGCAGTCTATTCCATTTCATTTATCATAAGTCCTAACTACTCAAAAAAAAACGTGTTGCCATTGCAAGAACTATTAACAATCTTTTCTTCAGAACTAAAATGTAAACCCTCTTTTGACAACATATGTAAAATGCGATTGGATACCATGGAGGCTGATTGCATTCCCTGGCTTTGTTTTACCTCTTAAAACAAGCTGTTGGAAAGATTTACATCATTAAACTAGCATTAGTAATCGAGTTACATAAAATTTTCTTTTGCAAATAATTTCCGAGCAAATTTAATGTTATGATTACCCTCGAAACTACCTTCAAAGGCCTTTTAAGTAGAAACTTTTAACAAGTGAGATGCATTAAGTGGGTTTTAAGAAAGTTTTTGATAAAACAGGACTTTTTGAAAGCAACGTCGTACACTCTAGCCTAGCCGCAACACGCTCAATCCTTCTGAGAGCATGCAATCAGACGAATCACAAACCACCAACGCAGCTACAGGACTCGCGTTGCCCTTGGAAACGGCCTCTTGTCTGCCCCAAACGTCAACAACTCCTACGCCGGCTCGTGCCTATCCCCGGATAGTAATTGAAGGTGAACAACATTCTTCAAGTCCAGCTATTGGTGGTGTAGTTGGCCAAACAATTCGTTCAAGGGATGATGTTGAGTCTGCAACACAGACTCCAGTACGAGGCTTTTCTCTGCCGCTGGAAAAGGAGTTTTACTTTCAAAGATTGCGACACACCCATCTAAGAACTTTTGGTGGACGGAGAGTGACTCGTCCCATTCGAAAGCTTCGAAGACAGGAACGGGTTGGTGGGGTTGCTTTTTCAATGCTAATATTGCACTCGTATTGCAGCCTAAGGGAGTCCTTGCTCTGTGTGCGCTTCTAGTTCACCGTGGAGCAGAACCAGCGAAGGTTTTCCTCCCCCACTGCTTCGCATGGGCTAAAAACCGGCATTCCAGAGTTACGTTCCTTTTCCACCTCCACTGCACCAAGCCAGATGGCCAATAAGACGTTGACTTGAGAAAAAGTGCAGATTTTGCCAATTTGTGTTTAAGAAGAGAGCCTCCCTATCAGTCCGATTTTGTACTTGTTTCTTTTTGTCACTTTCGACTGGAAGCTTTTGAGGAATGACTGTCTCGGGCCGATAGGCAATTTCTTTCCTGTCTTGCGCAGTTGTTAGTTGCCTTTGAAATGGTGTACGCAGCTGAGCTGAGTACTGAGAGTTGGAAATAGAAGCAGAAAAGCGATTACGGTAACAGTTGCATCAAGTATTGTCCAGACAACTATGAAATAAGAGGGTAGTAAGTAGTTATTTAAGGTACAAGAGCAACGGAAGGGGAAATCCGGAAGTTAGGAAGACATTTAATGGGTCTAACTAAACCCTCGTTGGCATTTTCCCACTTGGTTAGGAAAGTGGATAAAGGTTTGAAATGGACTCTAAATCGGACAGCGAGTTATATCTTCGCAAAAACTTATTTTTACTAACATTTTGACCACGTTTATAAATTGTCTTAGAGAAAGTAGTGCTTTTGTTTTTGGTTTATTTATTAACTTCCTACTCTCCAAATAAGGGAATGAGTTAAAGAATTTCAAAAAAATATTTGCAATTTTAATAGCAAGTCGTAAATTTGATAATGCAAAGAACAGCTCAGCCAAAAGCCGGGAAATTTATTTAAATCGTATTTTAAAAGCCATAAGCCACTTCAAAATATGATTTTAACACAAACGAAAAAGTGCCGTTTGCTTTACTCGAGATAACAAGGTGTATATGAAAATGAAGAATGCGTTTTCAAAAAAGTAATATACGGGGTATAAGATAAATAACTAATTCTAAACCTAGGAATTCTGAAAACCCATGTTAAACAACTTGTAAGAAAACTTCTGTTGTATATTTGATAAAAACAGTTAAATGGTTGGGTATGAAAATGTGATCTATAGAGCCGATACTTGATTCATTTATAAGCCGCATTTTCACCACCGCTAACACCGTGTCTGCGATTAATAGAACTTAATTATTACAAATGCATTGTTACTGATGATAGCACCTATGTATTGAAAAGAACATTCTATAATTACCTTTAAAGGAACTATGATATCTAAGTACCGACTTTTCTGACTTCATCGACACACTTTCGGTTTTTAAACAGACGACAAACAAAGGAAGATTATTTGCCAGTTGGATTATAACGAAAATCCTTCGAATGCGGATCGTTTTATAACAGATTTAGGGTTTAGGTGAATATGTGGAAACGACTTTTACATAATTTTATTTACAAAAAGAAAGTGGGTGGTGTGGTTCATTAACATGCTTCTATGCCTTGAAGTCTCGCAACAACTGAACCAACACCATAAAGCCGCGGTGGATGATTTATGCATTTATTGCATCAAAAGGTTGTTGTAAAAAACCCATCGTACGTGTGAGAAGGATGGCATAAAATGAGGCTGTAGAGGATGCCGTTAAATGAAAGTGCTGGGTCGTCCAATGCTTTTCCTTGGGTGGATCGCATTAAGCTGCTTTGAGTTGGTTCGAATGTTTGTTTGTTTAGAGTGGCAAGTAGGCCTAAATGTATGCTGGTACAGTCTTTCATAATCCCCTTAAATCTCAACACGAAGCTCATTTTTAGGGTTGAAGCATTCAAAGCAACGTAACTTTTGCAGTCACAGCTACTTCATCCTAATGTCTTTTTAATGTTTCAGCTGCCAGTAATGCAATGACCTCACAGCAGAAATTATGGTTACGAATCACAATTTTATCGTAAACGGTGTGACACAACAAAAGAGAATGCCTAAAAAGCAAGCGAAGCATGTGACTACAGGGGGAGGTTTGTACACCATATTCAATGCTAACTGTCAAAGAAGCATAGACTCTCATGCCGTCCCTCTATCCGATGGTCTGGGAGGTGTACCATATTCTATTTGATGCACAATCAAATTACGAGTCAGAGTTAGCTACCCATGCAATATGGTAAAGAAAACCAGTCGTTATCAGAAAGTACGTATCGAACCTAATTGGAATAAACTCTTATCGCAGTTTTTATGCTCTAGTAGCCCGTGTGTAGCGAAGCGCAAAAGAACCGTCACGAACCTTCCCTTGCCACTGAGTTAAAGTAAGAATTTTCAAATAAATGTAAATAATGAATATTTAGTAAAGGATTCAACACAGAATTCACTGAATCAACCGTAAAGCCTTGCTAGTTTGTTTAACTAAAGTCATCTTTGCCTATCAGCTTACATATTTACTGCTCTACAACTATGCCTGCTTATGATACTGGGGGAAACTTGGAGCCCCACATTGGTGGCAGAAGCAAACACATCCTACCCAAAAGGACAAAACTCCTGATTTCTATGCTGAATGCCATAATTTGACCTGACAGAGGAATGTTATCTGCGACTGTTGGGAAATCCTACGAAGACAATAACAAGGGGTTGACATCAATGCCCCCCTTCACCAACCTCTCCTGTCCCGTGATCAGCAGGAGTGCTATTAACAACTGAAATGACATTAGCTATAAACCATCAGAAAAAGTGCATTTTGAAGCAGTCTAAGGTACCTACTTGAAAACGTAAATAAGGCAGACGTGAGATATTTCGTCCACTTCTCTACCAGTTGAATGGGACCCAGATAGATAGATGGATAGGTGGGCAGATAGATAGGTGGATAGACAGATGACTACAAAGATAGACTGATCGATAGGGAGACGGGGAGGTAGGTGGCGGGGCAATCCAGACGTGGAAATAGTAAAGTGAAGTGAAGAAGTAAAAAGAGGCATCATTTTTTTAGAGCAGCTCTTATCGGCGTCTTTTAATGGGTAACTCTGCTTTTTGGGAAGGGTTTTTGCGGACGGCGATGGCCGTGAGTGATGGCTAGCACATTCCCTACTCCCTCCAGTGTAGTTCCCATACGGGCCAGAACTTTGGATGGAGTAGATTTACTGGGATCCATCATTGAGATTAAAATTAGGCATCATTTAAGTTGTCCGTATACTTATTAACTGAAGTGGCTGGTTCGTTGGTTATTCTTTTAAAAGCATCGACTGCGTTGTGTAGACTGTACTTCCCCTTAGCAGCGTGAAATCCGGTGTATGCCAATTACCTGCAGCCCCTATGTAAGTTGGTAATATGTCATCTCGCCACTAAAATGGCTTCTTAAAACGTTAGGAAAGACTTGGGTGTATGCTATTTTTTTTCACGAGCAGCTTAATAGGTTGCCGTGCGATAATCTTTGAATAGTTTGGAATGCCATCCGTAGATTCAAAACATTTAACGTACTTTTGGTACCATTTTAAGTTAAAACTACTTGTTTTATTGTTTGTTTTGTGTTTTGACTTAACACATTGCCTAAAATTAAGCCTGGGAAAAAATGATAAATTTTTATGAACTCTTAGTGCAATTTTTAAAAATCCTTGTCGAACCAGTTAAAGTTGGGAGACATGTGTTCGTGCTTTGAATAGCGTATGGGATGTCGTCTATGACTTTATCAAGAGAACAAAGGTACGATCGTCAGTTGCGTCTCTGGGGCGATCGTGGCCAAGAAAAGTTGGGGAGTGCAAATGTATGCGTACTGGGAGCGAATGCAGTTGGATCCGAACTTCTTAAAAATTTGGTATTACCCGGTATCGGTGGATTCACCATCGTGGACGATGCCGTTGTCACGAAGAAAGACTTGGGTAGCAAGTTCGTGTGCACTTTGAGATAACTTTTACTTTTAGCTTCTTCACAACTTCCCTCTCCATCGGAAAAGTACTTATTACTTTCCTACTTTAATTACTTTAGCCTAGAGCGCAGGTCGTCACAGAATATCTTTCTGAAATGAACACAGAAGTCCGTGGAAAATTCTTAGTTGAAAATCTCGATAATTTAATAGAAAACGATCCTAGCTTCTTTCTAGGCTTTGACGCCATAGTCTATACAAACATTCTTGAGAGGTATGTCATGTTACTGTTATAGTCTCTACTTTTACGTAGCCAACTTCTTCGAATAAGTAGGATCGTTTCCCAAGCCCACATTCCGATCATTATCTGTGTCAGCGTTGGCTTTATTGGTCTCCTTCGTGTCTCTGTTCAAGAGCATGCTATTATTGAGTCACATCCCGACTCAACCAAGCCGGATTTTCGACTTGACAGCCCTCCGGAGGCCTTTGTTCGTTTGGTCAATGACCCTGAAAACGATTTGGATTCTCTTCCTGCCACCCAACTGTCTCAAGTTCCCTGGCTCATCATTATTTACAAGTATCTTTCGCATTTTCAACGCGAGGTATTTTCTTTGGCAAGCACTTTTTCATTCCTCAATTTCAATGCTTTGCTGAATCTTGTTCATTGTATGATCTTTATTCGCTGTAGAACGGTCGATTCCCAACATCATATTCAGATAAGCAAGAAGTCCGTAAACTAATAAATGCAGGTGGGTTAGCTAGCGTTTATTACTGCTTCTAGCTGCCGATTCTCTTTTGGAAAAGTGCCGTTCTCGTGGCGAAACTATAGAGCCGAATTTCGAACTGACAAATTTTCAAGAGGCATCAAGAGCTGTGAACACGGCTATTTCTGAGACGAAAGTGAGCTAGAAATTTTGCTTCACTCCATTAGCTCATGGATGCAAATGTATTGTCGCCTCTCTTATTCCGTGCAGATCCCACCGGAGGTTCTCCAAATATTCGAAGATTGTCGATGTCAATGTTATGGAAGTTCCGACGATCGATTGACCCCGGATCGAGTAAGTTATAGACTTCTTTTGCAGATTACCTTTAGTCGTCAAAGTCGACGAGCTCTGTGGTGAACCTGACGATGTCGTCATTTTGGAAAATGGTCGGTGCATTGAAGGAATACACTATGAACGAGGGTGGTGGAAACCTACCTCTTCGTGGAGATCTTCCTGACATGACCTCTAGTTCGAGTCGCTACTTGAAGCTCCTAGGAATCTACAGAGAAGCCGCTGAAACAGCTGTGGAACACCTGGCGTCCCGACTGTCTCATGTGAGTTCATAACAGCCCTTCCTCTCGTCCCAATGTATTGGTTATGAATTTCTAAACCTTAGGTTTAATTTATCTTTATCTACAGATGGATGAATTGCGTTTGGAGGACGTGAGGCTTCTGGGTTTGGAAATTTTCTTGTTTACCCTTGTTTGCCTCAGTTTTTTGTTGTAAAGGGCATCTCTTGTTTGCTTCAGCGCACAATGCTGCCTACTTGCGTGTGATCAGGTGTCGATCGCTCGAAGAGGAGCTCAAACTATCGCCAGCTCGCTCTGATGACTTGCGTAAGTTGGCACTCCTTGAATTTGTCTACACTTAAGTGCCTCGTTTTCGTTATTTACTGACTCACAAGGCTGTTCATACAATTGAACATGATGCATACTGTGTTGGCCGCTTTGATGAGTCGTTATAAGGCAATCAACTAATGACTGTTTGGTTTATTGGAATACCAGGTCTTAGAGCTGAGATTCTAACTTCACTTAGCAGTTTCATCTTATCGTAACCGGTATATTGCAGACATCTCGAAACACTAAGGAGAAACCTGAACAGTTGAACTATTTAACCGAACAAAACTCGGAAATATTAAAGAGAGCTTAAATTGCACTCTAAGAGACGAATTTATTCACTCCTTGAGGGCTCTAAACTGAGATTCTAATGAATGCTGACCCACTGAGTGTAACATCGACGAAACTCTCATCATGTAATTTAGATGCTGGGACATTGAGAGATAGGCTAGTCGTCCTTTGTCCTTCTTTGCTTTCGTACCACGAGACCCAGCCGCCGCTTGTCACACTTTCGGCAATCGCAATGCTTCTGATAAGCTTGGCAAATTTGCGAAAATCAACTCCAGTGGCTTTACCTTCGTCTGAGATTGGTAATTACACGTCTGTAGAAATACTTTCTTTATCGAATCTTTTGTCATCGATTTGCGGGTTTTTTAGATAGGACGGCAGAAACCCTTGACTGCTCATTATTTTCAAGATAACGAAATGAACTTGCGATTCTTATTCATTGTATTCCAGCTCCTTCTACATCCCTGTAGAAATAGGAACTCTAAAACAGCGCTATCTTTGGTCGTCTACAGATTTAATTCCTGCGCATGAGGAGAACGACGCCATGTTGTGGTACTTCATGCTGCGCGGTGCGGCCAGCTTTTACTCCGAGCACGGGAGGTGGCCGGGCAGCCCGTGTGGTGCATCGACTCCGACGGTGGCCACCGCTGAGGGTGGCGATCACCAATTCGCTCCCCACATCGTGGAGCTCGACATGCCTTGTCTGAGAGGCCACGTGAATCGTGTCCTTACGGCTAGTGGGGTGGCTGTGAACCGAGTCTCCGACGACTTCGTGCACGTAAGTTCATCTCCCTGTGTTCCCATGGCATTTTCGGAAATTTGGTCGGATATTTATTCGATTTTACTTTGAATCTATGCGCCTAGTCAGGCTCCAGTACACTTAGAGCATCTCGAATGACTGCCAAAACAGAATCTTTTTAAAAACAAAGATTGATGCCAAAGTTGTTGTTGAAAGCCCACTTCTTTTCAAATCTCAAATCACCTAAAAATCGTACTGCAGAGGAAATGCGCCATGCTTTCCCGGAGTACCCATATGCGAGGCAGCACCCCCAATGATTGCGTCTCGAATTCGGCTAGGCTGCCTGGATGCGCATTGTTAACACACGTACCCCTGGGTTCACCTTCTTTGCACAGACTTTGATGCAATCGAAACCCGTCAAACTTGGGAACACCGAGATATTAATCCCCGATCCACTTCTGCCTTTCCAGGAGATGTGTCGCTTTGGAGGCGGTGAAGTTCACTCCATTGCTGCCTTCATGGGAGGCATCGCAGCTCAGGAAGTTATCAAACTCATCACTCACCAGTTCGTACCCATCTGCCAGCCCCTTATTTACAACGCAATCACCCAACGGGTAGCTCTTTTGGAGTTTTAATCATCATGTGCTCTCCCGAAACAATAAAGAGATCCTCTATCTGTGCTATTTTCACTGTCAAGTCACTCCGTCTTTTTTCCAAATACTAGAAAAAAACAACCCAGGATTAAAAGCTGGCACAATAGCGTAAACCTAGGAGCGATGCCATTCATTTTAGCTCCAGCTATTATCTTCCAATTTGCCAGTCATTTGTTGATACCATAGGTGGGAGTAGTAGGAGTTGGGTGTAGCAAGAAGGCTTTGGTGTGTGCCTTCCTCAAAAACGCTTCCTCTACGAAGGACGATTATCCGATCGGCGTCGACAATGGTGCTCAGACGGTGCGCAATCACGAGGGAAGTGATGCCAGGAGTGGCAATTGCTAGACGTCGGAGAATCGTCTGCAAGAGGCGATAGGAGAGAATGAGATGAGGTGGTGGGATTTAGAGCTGTTTTGCGACTTTTGACTGGGGACTCACCCCTTCGGTGATAGTGTCAAGGGAGGAAGTCGCCTCATCGTAGATGAGTATAGGGGCTTTCTTGAGAAGGGCTCTGGCAATTGCGACGCGTTGCTTCTCACCGCCCGAGAGCTTTAGACCACGTTCACCAACCTGAGTTTCGTAACGCAAGGGCATGCGCTGGATGGTCTGGTCCACATCAGCAAGTCTCGCTGCCTCGTAGACTTCGTCATCAGTGGCACTGAGGTTCCCGTATTTGAGATTGTAGAAAATCGTGTTATGGAAGAGCACTGTATCCTAAACTTAGACGAAAATATTCAGTGAGGATTTTAGACTAGGCTTCTGTTTCTGTATAAATTCGAAGCCAATTTACTAGCTTTTGATCCACGGGTGAGGTTTACGCCACTTTGAAGGCTGGTTTTTGCGTGGGCTAAGATGGGAACCTCATCCGAAATTCAACTACTCGAAAATAAGCATCCTGCTAAAAATACAATTCTGATCAAACTGGGACATTGGATGTGCCGATTTAGGCAAGGATTTGAGTAGGTTGCAAAAATCTTGTTTTGAACAAACAGGTAAAATCAAATCATAGTTAATATCGGAAGCAGAATACCCATACTTGAGGGAATAGAAAAAAGAGGAAAAGAAAATGCATATGCTGAGAAGCACCTGAGGAATGACAGCAATTGATCTGCGGAGGCTGATCAAATCAACATCTCGGACGTTCTGGCCCCCGATGAGGACGGAGCCGGCATCGACATCGTAGAATCGGTAGAGGAGACGCACAAGAGTCGATTTGCCACTGCCGCTCTCCCCCACCACAGCCACTCGCTGACCTGGCTCCACCTGCAAACGAAGAGTCAGATTGCCGTAGAATTGACAGGTTGGAAAGCCAGGCACTCACTCTGAATGACAGCCCATCGCAGATTTTTACTGGGGAGTCTGCGCCCTGCTGGTAGGAGAAACAGACATCACGAAACTCGATGCTTGCAGTATCCTTGGTCACGTTTAACGCTGGAGCGCCCGGCAGAGACTGAAGAAGTAAAAGGAAAGAGCCCTCGAAAGTTGCCGTTTAAGCCGGCAGGGTTGGTTGGAATTCCTTAGCTCAAAATTTACCTAGATGAGAAATTTTCAAACTCATAATTTGAACTGTCATCAGGAGGTTGGAGGGAATACCTCAAAGTTTACAAATCTAAATTTGCCCTATAACTTGAGCTGACTGGACATTTCTCACCTTCAGCATCGTTTCTCTACATAAAATTCAAAATTTACCATGGTGATGATGATAAGGACAGTACCTGAACTTTTGGTTTGATCTCTAAGAGTCGGAACATGGTGGCCATGTCGACAAGAGACTGGCGGATTTCGCGGTAGACGCTGCCGAGGAAGTTGAGAGGGACGGAAAGTTGGAAAAGGAGACCATTAACCAGCACCAGGTCGCCAACAGTGAGGCCGGAATTGACTGTGCCAGCGGTGACAGCAGCGGTGATGGCGGAAGGGTCGATTTGTCCCGCCACTACGGCCATCGTAGCAGCCAGACCGGCGGAGAAGATGGCCACCTGGCCAAAATTAAGGGCGGCCAGACTGGTGGAGGTCTTGATGCTGGCACGCTCGAACCGACCCTGCAACTCATCGTAGACACTGCTCTCGTGGGCCTCGTTTCCAAAGTACTGCAAGACAAAGTGCGATGGAAAAGTAAAAACGAGGAGGTTTCTCAGTAAAGTAGCGAACCCTAACTAAACCATAGATTCTGTAAAGTAGATTTTCGAGGTACTACAAAGTCTAAGTGCTAAAATACATACAGGATTTGATTTATGATGTTGCAGTAAACCCAAATAAGACCGTTATAAAAAACTAGAAAGGTCATCTTAATCAAAGAAGCTAAAATAAACTTGTACATGCAGCAGGTATGGCTGAGAACCCTTTCGCGTCGCAACAATCTTGCCGTTCAAAAGAATTCGTAACAAGAATTTTACTGAAAAAAGTAAACATACTTATCCTTTAGTTAAAATACCCACTTGGCATAAATCTAGCTGACGAGGACCTGTAATTAGGCATTCAAATTAGCTAATCGACGAAACAGGTAAGCAACGCTCGATCGCCTGAAAAAGGTTCTACATAATTTTGTCGATTCTCTTCCGTTCTCCGAGTTTCCATGCTGTCGGTCAGTGTAAATAACTTGCCACAGTTGACGTGACTAATCCATTCACTTGTTCAGTTCCAGACTAGTCATTGTTCGAAACAATGCGAAGCAAGCCAATCCGGTTATCAGATAATGGTCACTTACCTGTCCCCCAGTTAACAAAGGACATAACGTAGACAAGCAGCGAGAAAGCACTTACCTTAATAGTCTCATAATTAATCATGGCATCAGTGGCGTGACTCCCCGCTAGTCCGTCGGCTTTATTCATCTCGCGACGAAACTCCGTTCGCCAACGGGTCACAGTCAAGGTGAAAGCTGTATATACGCCTACGCAGAAGAGAGCGATTGTACTGCACTCGAAACCATATTTATGGAACTAAAACACACCATAACACAAAGTAAATGTAAAGTTGGCTCTTAAGGCAATGTAAAATTGGAGATGCGAGAGTGGGAGGGAAGCTAGGGACTGCTCACGAGGATTGCAGTCACTAGGCTGACTTCCAGAAGAGTTGGAAGGAGGTTGAAGACGAGAGCTATGAGGACGAATTGGATGGAACGTGCACCTCGATCTATCGCCTTGCCGATGGCGCCCGTCCGTCTGTCAAGATGGTAGGCGAGATCAAGAGAGAGGACGTGATTGAAAACGGCCGCGCCAACTTTCCGAATGGAGGAGTGAGCAGCTCTTGCAAAAACACCATTGCGAAGCTCGTTCAAACCAGAAGCGGTTGCACGCATAGCACCATCTAGGTAGGGGAAAAAATAAGCGATTTACTAAGCAGATATATTCTTCACCTTAACCTTTCAAATGAAACCCACTTTACATTTGACCCAATGAAGGTCTAAGTTGAGAATTCAAAGTGAATCATGAAATGAATCAGCAACGATCGAAAAATAATACTTTATCACAGTACTATGTGTCACATCCTGTAGTCGAATTTAATTGTATCAGGCAGCTACTGCGCTGGACATGTAAAACGTGTCCATTGCCGTCATTATTCCAAGTGTCATGACATAAGACATGGTAGTGACCTAATTAAGACTCAAATATGTAACACTTTCGTGGGACCATCTTAAATTCATACACAGCCTCTCCAGAAATAGCTTCCAATACCATCTATAAATATAATTACTTATTATCGAAGACCGGCCATGCAATATCTGATTCCGTGGGATACCTTGAAACGGTTCATTAAAAAACAATTTCAGGTAGATAAACTGACAAGTTGAAAAAGCGGAGACTTGCAATTGAAGAGACATTTCAAAATACTACACTTTGCTCTTATTCTCCACAGTATAAGCAATGGAACTCGATCATTTGTACAACTTCCCTGGCAAAAGGCGCAAAAAGCAAGAGAAAATACAGTATCAGGATGGTAATACTAAAAAGTGATGATTAATCAATGTCAAAAACAACTAGAAAACCCATCGATGATTCTTATGGACTCGGAAAGTAAGCTCAATAAGACATCTGCAATGTGTACAGACTGACGAAAGACGGGATAAGAGAGGCTAAAACAAAACCATTCAAATGAAAAAACAGGCTGCGTTAGGAATCCCTCCTTCTACTTTCGATTACAACGTAAGTGGTTGTTTGAGAGATATAACATGTCGTAGTATCAAGGAAAACGTATAAAATACGTCGATCTTGCTTAATTTATGTAACTGAAAGTATTTCCTGTACTAGAGAAACTGAATTATGCAGATAGTATTATGCAGGGAATGGAATGACACTTGCAAGTGAGCATAGTGGTGACTGCCATAGTTGTAGGAGAACAGCTGGATAGGAGGACTGGTGCATCACCAGAAATAACATCGACGCCGTACTTGAAGATGAAAGGGACAGCAACGTTGGCCAGCTTGGCAGCCAAAAGCAGCCCAAATGCTGTGACTACGCGGTAGCGAATGGAAGGATTGTCAGCGGGCCAGATGTAGCCAAACAGCCGACGAATTATCATAGCATCTGTTGCCTTCTGTATGGAGAAAAGATTACAAACAAGGCGCACTACTCACATCTCGAGAGAAATTCACGGTGTCCGGGTCCACCTGAACGCGAATGTGGAGCTGCCGACTGCAAGAGGACTGGGGCGTCCTGAAGGTGGCAGTGGCGAACTTCTCCAACATTGGCCGTTGAGCGACTCGATACACAGCCGATAAGTCAGCCAAACCACGGTAAATGCGAAGTGAAGAAGTCACTCCGCATTTCAAAAAGCACGATGCGTGGGAAGAAAGCATATTTGTCCACTTCAAATGTTCACAAATAAAACATATCTACACGAGTTTCTTTTGAAGTGGGCAAAAATCCCAATCCGATCGCGTAGTCTGACTAACTTCAAAATTTTTCTGACCAAGGTTTCTGCATTCGGAAAAGAGTAGGAAATTAAGTGGCGGCGTCATGAAAATGCCTCTATATTACAAACAGGAGGAGAAAACGGAATGCATGCGTAAAAGTAGAAAAGAAAAACAAGTGGGATGCATACAAAGGTTTTTTATAAAAAAAATCTTCCTTATTATAGTGATATAGGAAACATGTGAAGAGTGTACTCCAGCCAAAAACCCGCGAAATTAACAGAAACCCCGAATCGGTGGGATATGCACGCTTACAAAAAACATCAAAACACCCGCACGCTCCACTGGCTCAATCTAAGAAAAATTCTAGCAGAGAAATGTAACCTATGTTCTGTTTTTAAGTGACCTTTGGGGGAACCTAAGGCAACAACAGGCCCTTTAAATATTTTAGACAATGCCTTAATGCCGAAATTTATAATTAGCAGTAAATGTATATACCCCTTACAGGTTTGCTAATATCGTTAAATGGCTCAAATATAACAATTTCCCGTCATATATGGCCATGAACTTATTTAGTCACGAGTATAATTATTATGCCTATTCCTGATAGCTAGTCAATCTCAGCCGGTGAGCGTTGCTAAGTGGTTAGACGACCACTATCGTTACAAGAATTTAGAAGGAATACCTGCACCTTTCCCTGTGTGTCCCAACCTCACAATAAGCCCTATTGTCGAATGAAGGTACAAAGTACGGAATTTTGATGACCATCTTAATCAAATGAACATCAAAATGAATACTGAGCCAACATATAGTAATGTGGCGTTCCTGGATGCCTCTGAATAAAAAAAGAAGACAAATTGCTTGGGTAGGATGCAAAATCTTAAAGTATATAAGGGATTGGAGCTATTTCCAGGAGCCAAAGTATTAGTCATTAAAAAGATGCAATGATGGGGCCCCAAATTTCCGTTACCAGAATCGAGAGTTAAACAAAGAACTAAGGTATTACAGCAATAATTTATGGTTAATATGTCATTCTGCTGATGAATACTAAGATTAAACCAACCCATCGGTTGCCTCTGACCCTCATAGAGGGATTGGACGCTAGTTTCCCATAACATCTTGACTATTTTAAATCCCCATATTACACAACCTGTTTTCTTCTACTCACTCTTGACGATGCAAGAATCTGAGACCAAAGGTAGGAAAATACTAAAAAAATTGCATTGAGTCATCGACAACAGGCAGTTTAGCTCTTTTTTGAAAAAGTAAGATCGCTCTCTGGTCGAACAGGCTACAGCTTCTAAAAGCAAGAAAGGTGACTGAAGTTTGGAAAAAGTCCTGCATGACTATCGACATGAAAAATCTGGGTAATAGAATTCTGCATTTGTGCAGAATTAGCTTAGAATGTAAACTCTAAGGGCGATTTTCCACATAGTGCTAAAGCTGTCTCAAATTTTGCAGAATGGGATTCCTTTATCCATAGATGCAATGGACGATTGTCGGTAGCATCCTCTAGTCCCACCGAAACACTTCTGCTCACAGCCTGCTTACTTCGTTTGAAATGATTGAGCTCTAAAAGCTACTGGTCATGTGCACAAAAATATCTTATTAGAGTGTTAAGTTGGAAATAGCAAGCATCATGTAACATGCGGTAGGCACTGACGCCACTACATTAATCTGGTAGCCACCTATGTGTATACCACTACCCTTACTAGAAGTAATGCATCTAATGGACAAGGTCCTCAAAGTCGGGGTCACAAAGTCCTCCCCACCACCATGGGTTTCATTGATTGCTTTGGTAAATAAAAGGCGCCATGGGTTGAAGTGGTTTAAAAAGTCAAAGAGGTAGACCGTTTAGTAACGCGTTGGTACGAGGAACTGCAGTAGTACGACTTCACGGAACAATACAGAAAAGGCGCTATACGCAGTACTGCAAGTGCCTTATCTCGGACACCAAACCTCCTAGGAAATGGTGGCTTTTCAGTGAATGGCATTGCTTCGAACGAACCCATTATCCCAGGGGACAGGGTGGGGTTGATATCCTGGGTGCTTAACCAATAAGAGAGAGTAGATAGGTGTGTCCCTCTAATGATAGATGGTTACACAAAATTGGCCGAGATAGGACCCATGCAGGCTCAAAACGTTAAAACTGTAGTTTCTGTTTTCTTCAACCCGTGAATTTGTTAACACAGGCTTTTCAAAATGGCGTGTAGGGATCAAGGTGCCAGTGTTGAGGGTACTATTTACGGAACTATGCCAAATCTTTTGGAATTTTGACGACGCTTACGATGACCGATCATCAGAGAGGTCTTAGATGGGTAAAAATTAGGAGCTGAGTTCTAATTGAAACGATCAAGGCTCTAACGATGCCTTCAATTAACGAATCCACTCATTCCAAGGATCTGAAACCTTTGTTAGAAGAAAAAACAGTGAATACATTAAGGTAGTTTTCCTTGCCCTTTGAGCGCTTCCACAGGTGGTCTCCATGGTCTTTCTTTTGTTTCCATTTCAGGTTCTAATAATTGATGTAAGCGGAGCTCCAGCTATTCCTATGGTGTGGAAAGTGTGATGGTTAATGTGAGATGTCAAGAGAAGAGTCGGCATGGGTGAAATTTTAACATGAAAAGTTTGGCATTATAGTTAAATAAATAAAAAATCCTCCTGTTGGGCATAATATGCAAAGCGAGCAAAGAGAGCAAAGCTTGGGGAAGAAGCGTGAATCCCCATCTACGTACCGTCCTATGCACTTTTACAGTTTTGTGTTGAAAAGAGATGCGCAGCATTGTTCGAAATGGGAGAAGAATGTTTTATTTAGGAGGCACAAGTATCGAGTTATGGTGTAGGCAGAATTCATCTGGAAGACGTCAAAGGCTTAGTTGAAGCGAAGCAGGCTGACTCTCAGGTCAAAGAGCACCTTCTGTTTGACAGCTACGCCTCTACTGTTCCATAAAATTTAAACTCCACCTCTCCAAATACGCAACATTTGTAGATGGTGCGCAATATGGAGCTGGTAAGTTGAAAGAATGATGTCTACAATGTTGCTTCTGGATAACCTTGCATGAACTGTCGCCTAATTCGCTCTACCCTATGCCTTGGTCTGTGAGGAAGGGCAGTAAATACCAAATACTGAATCATTGCTGGATGTAACGACATGGGCGGCGACAATGCACTTTCTGGCAGAGCATCATGTCCTCTTTTGTCTTCAGGGAAGTCTTGGGGCGATACGTTGGTGGAAGCTGAAGGTAAAACCCGAAATTAAAGGGCAAATTTCTACATTTCTACTGATGCATGCTAAACCGTGGTTTGAAGAAAGAAGTGTATCTCCTGCGAATTGGACAACATGCGACGCCCCCAGAAGAAGGGTCGAGAATGACATCTACCCTCAGCAACTGCTCCGTTCTCCTGATCTGCTGGAAAGCCATTAACAGATGAAGCACCATTAGCCGCAAGCTACCCGGAATAGTTCGTTACGAAGGTGTCTATAGTACCTGTAATAAGGTACAATTTACGTGAACTCGCGCAGCCTCCTTCGCATCTCCACTAGCAGGATAGAGCCCAAATAGATATGGCTGGCAGCATGAAAGCGAAAAAATAGGAACACGGAGGAATAGATACAGAGCTTTACTCCGACAGAACAATTGATCCTCGTCCCTTGTTGTATGACTGTTTTTGGGCCAGTGTTCCTATCACTAATAATGAACGCGCGTGATGGTCAGTGCTTTTCCCTGTCCTCCCAAATACACTTCCATACAGGACGAAACTTCACATCCAGCAGAATTGTCAAGAGGGGTCGGTGATCTTGCGCTTATGTATCGTCTCAGTTACATGAAACTTCGGTGACTGGCACTGTCGGCTCGTGGGTGTTTCCTTACAGCACCGATTACGGCGTGATGGATGACAAGGGAGGTTGACTTTGGGAATCGCCGGTTACAACACTCAAATGGAAAGAGGGTCTGTGTAACACGTTGTTTATTCAACTTTTGGTTTTGATAAGGGTTTACTTAGGAGCTCTGCCAATGTGCCTTTCAGGGGTAGTGTAGCCTCCGAGTCGTGCCAGTAGCCCCAATCTCTTCTGTTGGTAGACAAAACTTAATCTGCAGGAGTATTAAGCTCTCTACCACCTTCAGGGAATACTCGAAGCGATGCGGAAGTGGGTGTACCAGTCATTCGTCTAGCATGTAACTGGTACACTTACTTTTCAGTCACATCATCCGTTCAAACACTTAACCTCTTTAACATTTCAAGCTTGAATTTTCCCAATCATGTTGTAACCACTGCGAATTTGTTGGGGATCAAATCAAAGGCGACGATTGCTATTTTTATGCTTGACTTCCACTCTGGGTTGTTACTCATTCGCTTGCCATCCCTCCTGCCGCATGTCTTTCTGCTGTTCACACCACTTGCTACTGAAAGGGACGAGTAGTATAAGTGAAGAGGTATAAATGCTTGAAATATTAAAGAATTGTGTTAAAAAGTGTGTTTTAGCAAAGCAAATTTTCCAAGCGGGTGTGAACTGGAATCTTTAGAATGACAGAACTCAAAACAGCGAAAAAAGTCTCCCAGGCTTTCAAAGCGGATGAAAACAGTGACCCCAGAATCTTAAAACCAACTTTGAACACATTAGATGGCTGCTTCCCAAAGGATTCAGCAAAAGTCAGGGTCTCTTTAATGCCTCTTCTTCAAAACTGGTCTAATCTTCCATGTTTGTTTATTTTTACTGCACTACGGTTAGGAATAATAGCTAAATTACCCGCAGCTATACCACCGGTGCCCATTAGTTAATGACAGCTGCCGCTAATGCGGTGCTGCCTCGTAGGTACTTTGACATTCGGGTAACAGTAATTGAAAAAGGGGCTTTTGGAATCTTGTTTCAAGTGGATCGGAAAAAACGAATTAAATAGGTCAAGGAAAAGTAGCTCAGGTGTACCTCCCACTTAAGCCTGCCT